ACACTAGACATGTAACAATAATAATAGTGATAAATGAGATCTAATCTTCTTGCGCTGGCCACCTGTGTGACTTTTGAAATTTCATTTGATCCGCCCATGCACCACTACAAACAAATCAAAGCACTGTTGATTTGTAGATTACGGAAATTATTGCACTCGGGACGGTCCCGACAAAAATGTAGCACTCGGCTTCGCCTTGTGCTACATTTTCCTCTCGACCACCCCTCGTGCAATAATTTCCGTAACCTACTCTCAACAGTGCTTTAACTAATACATATTAGCTTTTTAACTACATGATGGCTATAAAATAAATTAGCTACATGTACCATTATGTTATACACTATGGAGGCATGGTGTGATTAACACTGCCTAAAATGTTGTTCAGTTTAGAGCACTCTCAGTCAAATGTGTTGCAAACTTGCAATTAAAACATAAAAATGTACTATTTGCATGTAAATATGTGCAATAGTCTTACATGTATTTTGTGTAAGTTTTATAAACGGTTGATATTGCTAGCCTATAGATGTTTTCATTGTTTACATTTATTATTTATTATTATTTTCATTGGTAGAGAACACTCTACCTCTCTCTTTCTCTCTTAAAAGATTTTGTTCATGTAGATTTAGAATGACTTCTTTATTGTAATCTTCTAGTAAATTGTGAAGTTGTGTAGCATAATTATGTGCAATACAGTACTTGTACATGTATTACAGGTTATTGTAACCAGACGGTTGCTGCTGGTTGTTGTAAATAGATTTTATTTTCTGTACGCAAAAGCGTACAGAAAATAATTATAATTATAATAATTAATTATAGGGGGAAAATTATTTCCCCCTATAAAGGAATGGATTTAACTGCAACTATGCCTCTAATGACGTCACGTTTAGCCACACCCACTGACAGGAAGTAACCTGGCAGGAAGGAAAAATAGGCATTTTTGAAGGCTCATATCTCAGTGAATAATTTTTTTCAGACAATGGGAGTTGGAACACATCATTAGTATGGTCAGGCAATCATATTAAGCAAATAAAAAAAATACCTCAAAAATGCATTGAACTTACCCTTTAATAATTTGTTCACTCTCTCTCTCTCTCTCTCTCCTCAGTTGGTATTATTAAATGCTATTAGTGATCCAATACCACGCAGTGTCTTAGACTGTGTCATGAAGCAACAAGACCTTGATTCATTATTTGAATGGTAAGTGTACTATGTATGCACAATTGTATGCATGTACAATATGTACAATTCAAAAGTGCACTGTAGATGTACACGTACTTACATAGTTGTGCATATACTTGCTCATAGTCTCTTATATTAATTGATATTAATTGTAGACTGTGTACATGCACATGTACAATGTACATGTATGACCTTAAATTAAAATTATTTACTATCTGTGTTTGTGTGAGAGAGAGATA